CCCGGCCCCTAGAAACGCCCGGCCCGGCCCGGCTCACCCGGCGCGCCGCCGCCTCGGGCACCCCCAGCTCCCGCAGCGGCACCAGCAGCGCCTCATCTGCCTCCATCCCACCGCGCGACCAGCGGCCGCTCCACTCTCCTATTGGCTGCGCCCTGCATGGCCCGGCCAATCCGATTTGTTCTTCGCCTCCATGTGACTCCCAGCCACGCCCACACCCCTGCAACGAATCCGCTCCGTCATCCGCTGTCCCCCCCCCCCGCCGCGCCCCAACGTCCCCCCCCCTACACCCTCCCCCCGCCCAGGCACGAGCTCCACAGGCCTGACCGTCACCCACCGCTCCTACCCCACTGGGCCGGGCAGCTCCCCCCAGCCCCTGGCACGGGCTCCTCAGGCCCCCGTGCCTGAGCCGGGAGAGGAAACACAGCCCCCGTGTGAATCGGACCCACCCGGGCATTGTAATGCTCAGACACATCATTAGCACGTGGGACTCAGTCACAGGATATAATTGAAGTCAGAAAGATACCGTACAATTATGGGTAACATGCACGTCCGCCGTTACATTAAACAGGATTAAAAAGGAATAGTCTGTAACCCCTCCAGCCTCAGGCCCTGAGCCAACTGCCAACTAAACAGGTTTAAGAAGAAATTTCCCCTATGGGGAAGTTGCTACATAATTGTCCATTATGAGGTTTCATTCACCTCTCTGCGACATGAAGTACTGGCCAATATGTGAGAAAGAATACTAGTCTAGACAGACTACTCGAAGGAATTGCCAAACTTAATCCAGGGTCCCTACAGGTATTACTGCATTTAGTGTGTTTACCCTTCAGTTCCCAAGACCCATCTAAGTGTGGTATTTACATATGCTTACAAACCATTCAGGAATAAAGGGATTAATTAAACTGAAGCCTTTTCAGAATTAGGCCTGTTTAAGGTAAAGAACATAAGAACATAAAGATGCATCTCAGCATAAGACACTGCAGCCAAAACAGCTGGAATATCCTTTGATGCAGTATTTGACTAAGAAATCTTCAGCAAATGCCTGGATGGCCAGTGAGATAGAAGCATCCACAGATGTGGTACCTGGGCTTTGGAAATGGCATCAGAGAGTGCAGTACTGGGATCAGATAATGGGAGAGGAGAAGGTAGTTCTCTTCTCCTCCTCCATCCTACCTGTAATCCCAGAGGAGCCGAGTAATATTGATAAAATGATCAGCATGGAAATAGTTAACAGTGTTGACACGCAACTCACCATCATTAGACTCAGAGTTAACACCCATCAAAATGTACTAGATCACTGGTTCTCAAATTTAGCAACCCGAGGACCCCCATTTTGATTTAAAACTTTTCATAGACCCCCAAGCTGGCTTCTAATTTTCCCCAGGGTGCTCAACCCCTGCCCAGCCTCAGGCCCCGCCCCACTCCACCCTTTCCCCCAAGGCCCCACCCCATCTTCCCACCCCTGCTCTACCCCTGCCCCTCCTCTTCCCGCCCCCTTCTCCAAGCAAGCCCCATCCCCACTCCCTCCCAGCACCTCCTGCACACCACTGAACAGCTGTTCTGCGGCCTGCAGGAGGTACTGGGAGGAAGGGGGAGGAGTTGATTGGCGGGGCTGGTGGTCCTGGATATGACTCCTGGACCCCCTGGAGTATCCTCGCGGACTCCAGTTTGAGAACCTGTACTAGATAGTTCACACTAAAGACTTGCTGGTCCCCTCTCTTCCTCGTTCCTGCCCCAAGCAAAAGGCTTTTCTCACAGAATTTAAGATTTATGGGGAAAGAAATCCTTCCCAGAGCCTGGCAGCTTCTCCACATCTAGAGTAACTGATGGAGCCCATGAACATTCCCTACTTGGTTAGGGAGCTAGGCCTAAAGATCTGCTTCCGTTCCAGCAGTACCACTACCAGACAATGAAACCCCTTTGTAGAGCCTCCTCTCACAGCTTGTACTCTGAGTCAGAGAAACTACAGTGGGCTTAGCTCTTCTATACCTGCTGAAGGATTAGCTATTTGTGACTTCCCACATTTAGCGGGCAGCAGGTTAGAGATATCTGCACAGAGGACTAGAAACCTAACTTTTCTTTGAATGGAAGTCTAGCTTCTGCAGAAACCAATATGGAAGTTGAGTTGTGCCATCTCTGTAGACAGATTGGTGGCAGGTGCAGAAATGTGGCAATAAATGGGAAAGTAATGGAGTAAAAGCACCTAGGTTCAGGAACAGAGGAGATGGAGCCATTGTAACAGACAACAAGCTGCTGAGGAAGGAGAGTGAGACTCAGTCAGGCTACTTGGATTATGGTGTTAAGGGAATGGAGCCTGGTGAAAGGACAGGAACATAGTGGGAGAGAAAAAGGCTGCCAATGCTTGAATTCCACTATGAATTCTATGGCCTGCATCTTCAACAGATTTGCCATCTGGTATGGTTCTATGTCCTGTGGAATAAACTGATCTTCTGTGTTCCGTCTCCAGAGAAAGAGTCACAAGGCTGATCTGGACACTGGGTACTCAGCCATGGGTGTTGGAGGCATTTCACTGCTGTTGTCCGTTTGGCTGGTGTGTATTCCAGCATTGGCAGAAGGAAGCTAGTAAATGGAGCGGCCTCTTGCTTTGTCCAGTTGTATCTGTCCATTAGGGTGTTGTACAGAGTGCAGGGGAAAAGCCTGGAAATCCGTAGGAGAGCACCTACCAAAGATGACATAAGCACAATACTTCACCATTGAGTATAAAAGCCTCCTAAATCCCTCTCCTCTTGCTGCTTTATTACACACCACCTCCTCCTGGATTCTCCCTATACCACCTTAAATAATTCTCCTGCTCTTCACTCTTTATACTTATTCAATACCTGTAAGGTGCCACCTGTCAGCCAGTTGTGCTGATCTTTGAACTCCCCCCACTATGTCAACATTGCTCTGGTGATAATATGCCCAAAAGTGAATTAAATATTTTAGATGCAGTCACACCAGGGGCCATAAAGTCAGAGACCATCACCTCCCTGCTCCGTGATACCTCTGTGAATGCAGCCCAAAAATGCATTGGCCCTTTTTCGTTGCCATATCTCACTGCAAACTCATGTATAATTTCTTTATTATGATTATTGCTTTTACAGGCCCAGAAGTCTGGTAGACACTTAACAGAAGACAGAAGACACAGTCCTTGCCCAGAGAGCATGCAGTAAGTCAGGTTAGGCTGACCAGTACCCAATGGGTCAATTAAATTTACAAATATACACAATTAATGAGAAAAATATCCATAATGACTATCTTTTGACTCGCTTCTTGTTGGCACCATGGAAGGAAAAACGGTTACCTACCTTTTTGTAACGGTTGTTCTTCGAGATGTGTTGCTCATCTCTATTCCATTCTAGGTGTGCGCGTGCCCACGTGCGCGGCTGTTGGAGATTTTTGCCTTAGTGGTATCCGTAGGGTCAGCAGCTAAGTTTCCTGTAAGCTGCGCAGCCGCAACCTACTTAGCGCCATGTAAGCGCTTAGAGAACCTGCACGGGGTCCTGCCACAGCTGGGAGAGGGATGCCCCTCCCCCAGCCCCCGCCTAGCCCGGCTGCCAACCTGCTGCGGCCGGGGCAGCCCAGACTTGCCGTGGCCGGGGAACCCTTCCTCCGGCCCCAACTCCGCTGCAGCCAAGACCTGCCGGGGCGGGCTGGCCTGGCCCAGGACCCAGGCGCGGCCATGCTGGGACCAGGGGAGAGGCATCTATCCTGCAGTCCCAGCCCCGGAGCTGTTGCGGTGGGGATAGACGCCTCTTCCCCCAACCCAGGTGCTACTGCGGGGAGTCTGCTCTCCCTGCCAGAGCATCCTCCTGTACCCCAAACCCTTCATCCGCGGCCCCACCCCAGAGCCCACACCCCCAGCCGGAGCCCTCACCCCATGCACCAAGCCCCAGCCCTGAGCCCTTCATGCCCAGCCCCACCCCAGAGCCCACACCCCCAGCCAGAGCCCTCATCCCATGCACCAAGCCGCAGCCCTGAGCCTCTCATGTCTGGCCCCAGCCCACACCCCCAGCCGGAGCCCTCACAAACCTTCACCCCAACCCTCTGCTCCCTCCCACTCTCCGAACCCCTCGGTCCCACAACCACCACATGAATTTTGTTATGTGCACCAATGTGAAGGTGATGTGTCACACATCACCTCCATAGCACATAACAAAATTAATTCCACACGTGGGTGGGAAAAATTAGAGGGAACACTGGTCGGCAATGGCGCCCCCATGAGTGCCGCACTCATGCGCTGGTATATCAGGCCCTATGCCCCCTCAGTTCCTTCTTGCCGGCAACTCCAACAGCGGGGCAGGAAGGTGGGTCATGGAATGGACATGAAAAAAATTAATTAATTAATGGAGATTTCCAGTTCCAGGAGATAGGATGGGACCTTGAAAGGTCATCGAGTCCAACCCCCTGCCTTCACTAGCAGGACCAAGTACTGATTTTGCCCCAGATCCCTAAGTGGCCCCCCTCAAGGATTGAACTCACAACCCTGGGTTTAGTAGGCCAATGCTCAAACCACTGAGCTATCCCTCCCCAACACAGCTCAAAGAACAACAGTTACAGAAAGGTAGGTAACCGTTTTTTCTTCGAGTGCTTGCTCGTGTCCATTCCGTTCTAGGTGACTCATAAGCAGTGCCAATGGAGATGGGCTGAGAGTTCATGGTCTTGCAGCTTGCAGCACTGCTCTGCCGAAGCCAGCATTGTCCCGGGCCTGCTGGGTGAGTGCACAATGGGATGTAAATGTGTGGACAGATGACCAGGCTGCAGCTCTACAGGTCTCTTAGATGGGTACCTGAGCCAAGAAGGCCACTGATGACGCTTGCACTCTAGTTGAGTGTGCCGTGACTATTGCCGGTGGAGGCACTTTCACCAGCTCGTAGCAGTATCGGATGCAGGCTGTGATCCAAGATGAAATCCTTTGAGCAGACATTGGGCGACCTTTCATCCTGTCTGCCACTGCAACGAACAGCTGCGTTGACTTGCAAAATGGCCTTGTCCTGTCGATATAGAAGGCCAGCGCCCTCCCGACATCCAGGGCATTCCTCTTCCGATTTATGAGGCTTCAGGAAGAAGACAGGCAAGTATATGTCCTGGCCGGTATGAAACTGGGAAACTACCTTGGGCAGGAACACCGAGTGCAGTCACAGCTGGACCTTATTCTGGTAGAATATGTAGGGTGGTTCTGAAATAAGAGCCCTGATCTCAGACACCCTGCGGGCAGACATTACTGCAACCAGGAATAAAATCTTCCAGGAGAGAAGGAGAAGAGAGCAGGAAGCCAGAGGTTCAAAGAGAGGCCCCATGAGCCTTGACAGCATGAGATTCAAGTCCCAGAAAGGACAAAGTAGTGGCCAGATGGACCCTGACTGATGACAGGGACAAGCCCTGGAGCTTGAGGTGCAGAAGATAATCCAGAATAACCTGCAGCAAGGCCAGTTGTTCTGAAGCCTAGTACGTGAACCTTTTCCACTTGGCCAAATAAGTCGCTCTGGTGGAGGGTTTTCTGCTACCCAACAAGACCTGTAGAACCCGGGCCGAGCATTCCTGCTCTTCCACATTCAGCCATGCAGTCAAATGCAACACCACCAAGTTCGGGAGACTCAACTGTTGAGTCTTTCACTGTTGCACCACATGTTTCTAGCCAGTCAGTTGAGTTTCTTGCAGAAAGATAGTGAGCATTTGCTGGTCTTCTTCGGAACCAGTGTTCAACTTCAGGATGAACAAGTGACAATGCACTTAACGTTGGCCTCCAGTTTGTAGTGTGTGGTATTTTTTGCTTAAATAGAAAGTAGGATGCCACAGCCATGTTTGTTCGCATGAACTGTGTTGTGTCTCCAGCATTCTTAACATCCTCATTAACACTCACTGGTGTTGTCCTTGGTCAGTGGAGACTCAGAGTTCAGAGGTGCTTTCACATGAGTTCACCTCCCAGGTGGGGGGGCAAGATGGCACCTTGCTTGTTCCTCCAGCTGCTGTTTGCTCTGGCCACTGTTGTTTGTTGTGCCACTGTTCACTCCATCGCTCTGTTGCCAATGGCCCTGCGCCATCACCTGCCACTGTGACCTCTGCGAGTTGGTCTCCTGAGGTTCCACCCAGATCTCAGTGATTTCAGCTGAGCTCTCAGTGGGGGGACCTCGCTGCTAGTGCAGTCTGGGCCGTCTCTTCCACAGAAACACTGTCCCACAGCAGGACTAAGCACTTAGACCTGATTTCAGCTGTAGTGGTCACTTAGCAAAACAAAAGACTATCTATGGAGCCTAATCAGCTCTGTCTTTAAACAGTGGAGAGGGGCAGGTCAAATAGTACTTGTGACTCAGGCAGACCATCAAGCAAAACACCTGTCCCCAGCCTCTCTCCTGATGCCCTCGATCAGCACAGGCTAGGTACAGTTCTACTGCCCTTTACTCATACAACAAGAACAACAACATTACATTACCCACCACCCCGCATTCAAGTGATTTGTAACCCAAACCTAGCCAAAATCTATCCCTTGGGCAACACAGCTCTGTTTGCTGGATACCTAGGTACATTAGGTGTGAATGTAAATACAATCTGGTCCTGAAGCCCTTTCCCCCCAGCCCCAGCTCATCCCTAGCTGTCAGGGAGAGCTCATTAAGACTTTGCTTACAAATCATCATTTGGATTTATTAGGTTGGCCAATGTCCCCGAAATGAATGCACCGACATTGTCATAAAAAACAACAGCTGTATAAGGAAGCTAGTCTATGTTCATACTTTTCAAATCTATTATACTTTTCAGATACATGTATTTTATCATACACTGTATATACTTTTAAAGTATGTATTAATGTTTCAATTTCAATTCAAATTTCCAAACAATCACTAAACTGGCAACACTGCATGTAACTAATTCACAAAAATGGGGTGGGGGTGTTGGGGAAATTCGGGGGGCGAGGTGGGGAAATCCCTGTTTGAGGCTGTTTCACTGGCTGAGTGGAGAAAGGAACATAGTAAGAGACTAAGTGGGAAAGTGGGGAGGGAGAGTGCTAGGTAGGGCCTTGGAGTCAAGGACAAAACGTTTAAACTTGATGAACCAAGGGAGAGGCAGCAAAGAGATTCAAAGAGAGGAGATGCACATTTTCGACAGAGTGGGCTGGAGGCAAAGGCGGCGGAGTTGGGAAGAGGATGTGCTTGTCCTCTGTCAGCATAATATCCGAATTTCAGGCTTCTTCCAGCTTGACTCTCATTTAGTTATTTTCATCCCACGTTTCTACTCTCCATCTAGGTCCTTTTGGGATATTTCTTAGTTCTCACTGACTAAGAAACTCCTACCGACTTTAGAATTTTGTACTGGCATCATCTCCTGAGTAACTCTCAAGTCAACAGGTTGGCATAGCAAGGTCCTAGAGGACTTCATGGAGTCTTCAGCTCTCTCCCTGCTTACAGAGAGCTTTGCTTAAGATAGCTTTTTGTTTGTTTTTCAAAGAGCAAGTTATTTAGGGGTGGGTCAGAGATCTGCACCTTTCTGCACAGGCGGCGACTTTCCATTGTGCTGGGGGGTGCTTGACCCCCCGGTTCTGCCCCAGGCCCTGCCCTCACTCCATCCCTTCCCCCAAGGCCACACCCCTGCCCTGCTCTGCATCTTCCCACCCCGCTCCGCCCCGTTCCGCCCCCTCCCCCGAGTGTGCCGCGTCCTCGCTCCTCCCCTCCTCCCCAGCCTCCTGCACGCCGCGGAACAGCTGATTGCGATGGGCAGGAGGGAGAAGCGCTGATTGGCGGGGCCTGCAGTTGGGCAGGAGGCACTGGGGGGGGAGGGGGAGGTGCTGATGGGGGGCTGCTGGTGGGTGCTCAGCACCCACCATTTTTTCCCCATGGGTGCTCCAGCCCCAGAGCACCCACGGAGTCAGCACCTATGCCTTTCTGGATAACTCCCCAGCTCCTATTTTCACCTTGTCTGCTGAAGAATTTAGACGACTGTTTCCAGGAGAAAATAATTTTAGGAGGAATTCTTCCCAGGAGTTCAATGATACGAGCAACATGATCTAGAGAGAGAGAGAGAGAGAGAAAGAGAATGGGGGAAAACAAGAAGCTGGATATTTAGATTTTATGATCCTTTCATCAATGAAGTCACTGAAGATGACAGAATCCTACCATCATCTCTGGAGAAATATTTCCCGGCCTGGGGTTCAAAAAGGCACTCGCCGGTCACCATTTCAAATGCCTGGAAATGAAATAGCCTATTAATCCACTTAGTGCCCAAGCCAGACAGTCAAGAGAGTCATTCTTCACCAGTCCCTCCACTCCCTCAGCACCACCCCATTTTTCACTTCTCCAATACTCCATGACACAGGAGTGTTCCTAAGATAAGGAAACACCTGCAGGTGCCGACAGTCCCTGCTCTGCCACCACAGACATCACATTCCCCTTTGCCTGGGTAAATCTCAGTGTGTATCTGGTTCAGTTTGACATATGTTAGGTTCCATATATAGGGTATTAATTGCCTTGTAATCAATATAGGGACAAGACAATTAAGAGGAGGTTTATCTGCAGTACAACTTTGAACAAAAGTTGGTATTTGCAGCGTGCTTATTTTTATCACGACTTCTTCAGACAAGACTCGTCTTACTCCCAAATGCAGTAAGATCAACTGATGGCTGAGGACAGATATTCTCACAGGGTTGCTGGTGTGTCATTCATGTTCACATCTGTGGTGCACTGCAATCACCATGTCCATTGGGCTGAGAATCCCTACCAGGCAGGCTGTGCTCCAGATATCTGCAGGAGTGCTGTAATCTAACCCAAGAAGAACTTCCAGGGCTCGGTATGGCTGGGTCTGGATCTCTTTGGAAAGAGGCTTGTACTGAAACAGAAAGGACGGACTATGGCTAGTGGTTCACAACTGATTAAAAACAAAGAAAATCACAGCAAAGTCCAGGATATAGTGGTACAGACCATGGATGGAACATGCTGAATGCATATACCCAATCTCATGCAGGATACAGCAGATCTACCTGCTGAGCCCCACAACACCTGGGGTGATTTCCCTTCATTCTCCTCATGATTAGACATTTCTACTGGACTAAAACAATGAGGAGGCACCTTAGAGACTAACACATTTATTTGGGCATAAGCTTTCGTGGGCTAGAACCCACTTCATCAGATGCATGGAGTAGAAAATACAGGAGCAGGTATAAATACATGAAAGGATGGGAGTTGCCTTACCAAGTGTGAGGTCAGTCTAATGAGACAATTAATTTAACAGCAGGATACCAAGGGAGGAAAAATAAATAAAGTGGCCCATATCAGACAGTTGACAAGAAGGTGTGATCACTTTGGTCACTCAATAACAGGCCAGGGAGGTTGAAGTGTTCTCCTACAGGTTTTTGTATATTGCCATTCCTGATATCTGACTTGTGTCCATTTATCCTCTTGCGTAGTGACTGTCCAGTATGGCCAATGTACATAGCAGAGGGGGCTGATGGCATATATAACATTGGTGGACGTGCAGGTGAATGACCCGGTGATGTTGTAGCTACATATACAATGTTATATATGCCAATGTTATATAGGAGAACACTTCAACCTCCCTGGCCACACAATAGCAGATGTAAAGGTAGCCATCTTACAGCAAAAAAACTTCAGGACCAGACTCCAAAGAGAA